CAAGAAAACAACTCTGATCAAGTGATCAGTCATTAACCATATTACATTGTGCAAATATATACTGACAAGTTTGTTAACCAGGCAAACGTCACTGTCATTAGATGCTTAAATCATTTGTACATTGCCTAAGCAATACAGGCTCCAAGTAGGTTTCACTTAATTGCATTCTCTTGAGGATGATTATGTGGTTCTCTTTTTTTTTTTAATTTCCATGCACTCATGAAGGCAAAGCACCATCTATGGCAAATACAAAGTCCACCAAATTCTTCAGCAATGAACAAAGATCAATTCCACGAAGATTAATCCTTCCAATCTGTAAGCAGACAAAGCAGCTCTGAATGTGATAGCAGTTGTAAGTAGTAAGTGGAATTCAACTCAAGAGAACCTTGTCCTAATTATTTGCAGTTAGCTAAGTAGTAAACGACACTAGGAAAATTATATCTTGTAGCAGAGGTGGTGCCAATGGCGACGAAACAATTTTGTTAAGTTTGAGTTAGTTCAAGAAAACGAAAATTGGACTGAAGTTTGAGCACACATGTCATTTTGCATTTTGTAGCCCTTAAAGATTTTTGGTTGAAATTGTATACATTCTTATGTTTGCTCGTAGATATATGGGTTGGAGCAGAATTCTCAATATATACAGATAGCTGGAATATATTCTAAAATATAATGTAATTACCATTCAAGAATTATTATTTCTTTTTATATCCATATGTACTACTGTAACATGAAAATTTATGAAAGATCAAGATATAGAACCAAAGGAAAAATTAACACACCAGCCGTTCTAGCCGATTCCACCTTATGGAGCCATCATTACGGATAAGAAGTTCCCTCAATATTTTCCTCATGTCAGGATTTGGGTCTGCCAACAACCTCCCAATAACGAAAGGATATGCACTTTCAATGACTTTGAAATCAGGATCCAATATTTTTGCGGTCCCTTCGAGGGATCCTAGGGCTCTTATCACCAAAGCATAGTCCGGAGGAAGATAGAAGTTAAACTCATACATAACATCATATAGTTGCGTCATTACGCCCTGAAAACCGATGCAAGATCAATCACTTAAAAGAAGACAGAAGTTAAACATAACATCATACCGTTTCGTCATTATGCCCTGAAACTTGTTGCAAGATAAATTCATTAACTAAAATAATCTGTCAAAATTTTAAACCTAGAATACTAATAATGGTAAATCAACAGAGAGATTCATGAAAATTGCTGATATCTAACCACCTTGAAACAAAATTTAGTTTCCCATCTTTTTTATTATAACAATTTTTTTTAAAAAAACTAGAATATCGGTTACAAAGTTACCAAATAAAACCAGAAGGCTAACAGAAGGGGGAGGGGGGAATGGGTTCTTCTATCCACCAAATCATTGGTCGAAACATCTGAAAACAGCTAGAATGGAACATCTTGAAACACTTAAAACAGAGTAATTTTGGCCATTTAGCTGGAAAACAAAATGGAAGTTTCACCCTTGTTTCCATGAATAAATACGAGTATATGTGAGTACAATCCATAGAAAAATAACAAAGGGCCCATTTGTTTTGCATTTGTAAGCAGTTTTTTTATTTTCGGATATGAAAAACATAAGACAAGTTGTTTGGATAGCCGAGCTTTGTATCCAGGTTTTCAAAAATTGGAACAAAAAGTCAAATTTAAGAGAACACTAATAAAATGTTTTTGCCAGTTTTGAGACAATTTCAGATAAAATTGAAAACACGATATACAATTTATTGTGCATTGAAAGGCATCAATTAAAAGGAAATAAAAATTTCCCCCTTCCGTGTCATTCACTGCACTTCCAAGCAAAGCCAGATTGATTCCTTCAAATCCCCTAGTCTCGTCCAAAGGTTCGGTCCTTCAAGTGGCACAGGCCGGCGAGATGAGGTTCGATCGGCTTCTAATAAGCTCCTGAAGAATGCTCTTTTAATGTTCTTTTTTTGCCGATTGATTCAACATATTTTCTTAAGGTTGGCTTTCTCCTTAGATCTGACCCTATGCAAATAAAAAATTTGAGATCTATGTTGTTGGCTTTATTTGTCGTTCTTTACAGTGAGGGGAAGGATGACATCTTTGCTACATATTCAATTAAGGTAATTTTTTGTTGCCTAAGATTTGCCATGGCATTCAACACTTGTCCTTTATCCTTGGGTTTTCATTTTTTTTTGGAAATATTTTATGGGTTAATTTCTAGCATCAGGTAATACAACGTTGAGAGTTCTATGAGTAAATCTTATTTGTCCACATGTTGTATAATACTAACTGAGAAAGAAAATCAAGGTAACATATCCCACCCTCAATCTCACCCTCATGCTCTTTTATAGAAGACTCTTACCAAAAAGTCAATTAAAATTATATCCCATATTTTTATTATTTTTTGAATCACTATCCAAACATGTTTTACTATTTTTTGTCTTTCAAAATTGTTTTTAGAATCATACAACCAAACATGTTTTGGGATACACAAAAAATCCAAACACACTTTTCTAAAACTTTTCTCAAAAATATGTTTTTAAATACTACTTTTTGATAACATATCCAAATAAGCCTAAATTTTTGCCATTTCAATTTCATAATTTAAGCTACACACACTAACACCAAGAATCAAAATATCGTTTTGAAACGGTCAAAACGTCCGAAACATTTCCGTTTTCAAAGAGATAAAAACGAAACAGTGATGGAATTAAAATTCTGATATTTCGAGGTATTCCATAATATTTTTAAATGTATTATAATATTTTAATGAATTTGCACAATTGTTTTAGAATGTTTCAAGGTATTTCAAGATACTTTGATATATTTTCATCAATGTTTTTGAAAAATAATTTTTAAATTTTTTATTTTTTTCATTATATTTTCGAAACACGTCGAAACGTTTCTATTTCTTAAGTGACCGAAACAATACACCAAAATGATATTTCCATTTCCTAACAACCATGTGATTGTGGTGTCAAATCTAAAGACATCCATAATGTGTAAATAATGCAAAAGTTGTGACCTCTATCCAATCATCGCTTAGCACCCCCAATAATAGGGACCAAATCAGTTTAATTATCTCTCTTTGGAAAAAAAATCTACCAAAGGGTGTAAGATACTCTAACAGACAACCAATGACATTCTAACTATCCAATATCATATGTATTATTTATTTATGTATGAGCAATTCATAGCACCATGGAGTCCAAACAAGATCATTTCCTCGTGTTAATCCTGGCAACGAGGCAGCTACAAAAGGCCCATCAACATGAGGTGTTGCGAGGGCTAAATTATCAAACCTAACATATAGCTTTTAGGCCGCCTCAAGGCTTAATGCCATGTTTTCCCAACTTTACCACTGCACCCAGAAATAGCCCCTAGCAGGGCCGACTCAAGTCCATGACAACCTAAAGCGAGAATTCTAACAAAGGCTTTTTACAATTTTCCAACAAAAATGTATTTATCTCGCCTTTTGACATACAACACTATTCAAACTTGTGTATGAAAAATTTGCTAACATATTATCTTTAATTGGTAGTATGATTGATCTTCATAATTTTTATTGTATCATAATCAATCTTAGGTAGAAATTTTTTTAAATTCTAAAAATTCTTTTTTGCACAAGAAGCTGTTAACTTTAGCATTAATAATATATTATAAGCAATACATAAATATGGAAAAAAATCTTCATATATATAATATAATTTAGTACCTCAATTGAAAAATATTTTATTTAAGTGTTCAAATTGAGAGAGAAATGAATGGATTGATGATTGTTTTCTGTTCGTATGGTTTACATAAATAAAATATATATTTTTTTTAACACAAGAATAATACTATAGGGATTCTAAAATTTGACCTAATCCTTCGACATAATAATATAGCATGTGTTATTGTTCTAGTAAAAAATTTTTTACCATTATGATTATAGAAATGTCCTATGAAATACAGATATGGACAAGGGTATCGTATCCGATATGATACGGACACGAGGATACCACAAAGTTAAAAAATATAGGACATGCGAACTGCAAGGACACGGCTATTAAAATAATATAATATATTTTTTAGATAATATAGAGTTATAATATATTAAAACGTAATATAAATAATAAGACCTACAAAATATTAATAATATATATTATAAAGTAATTCATAATATATAAGTTACATAACAAAAAAATATATATTAAAAAAAATAGAAATCACACACCTTTTAATAATTAAGAGTTATTTTT